AACAGGTGTCTTTTGTACAGGTAACGAGTTCAAACAGGTGCAATTAATACAGGCAATGAGTGAAGGATAGGAGGGCTTCTTAAAGACAAACTAACAGGTCTGTGAGAGCCAGAATTCTTGCTGGTTGGTAGGTGATCAAATACTTATTTGCCCCACTGTAACATCTGTGGGTTGTGAACATCAACATTTGTATTCTTGAACTCAGGTATGACGACAGGAAGTACATTTGTGGCAGTATTTAATGTATCTATCATTTAGGTCAAGAACACAAACCTTACAATAAAACCCTCAATAAGAGGGAATCTAAATAAAACATGTTCATGTAGGCGTTTAAAATGTGATTAAATATATATTATTCAGTATGAATTTAATTCAGTGGAATGCAAAACTATCGCTGTGTATCAGTAAATAAAATAAATTCTAATGCTCATGGGTTGCATAATATTCCTGATGATTTCTGTTTGCTCTAGGAATACTGTAAGCTGTGCTTGTATTAGCATTCATACTGTGTAACATTTGTCTCTCTGATGACAGCAACAGTAGCAATGACCCCACAACCCCCTTACCTAAAATCTGTCTCAAAGTGATGCTGAAAAACTGGTCCATGCATTTGTTACTTCCAGGCTGGACTACTGTAGCTCTTTACTATCAGGATGTCCCAATAGTTCCCTAAAAAGCCTCCAGTTAATCCAAAGATTTAGATCTATCATTTAGGTCAAGAACACAAACCTTACAATAAAACCCTCAATAAGAGGGAGTCTAAATAAAACATGTTCATGTAGGCGTTTAAAATGTGATTAAATATATATTATTCAGTATGAATTTAATTCAGTGGAATGCAAAACTATCGCTGTGTATCAGTAAATAAAATAAATTCTAATGCTCATGGGTTGCATAATATTCCTGATGATTTCTGTTTGCTCTAGGAATACTGTAAGCTGTGCTTGTATTAGCATTCATACTGTGTAACATTTGTCTCTCTGATGACAGCAACAGTAGCAATGACCCCACAACCCCCTTACCTAAAATCTGTCTCAAAGTGATGCTGAAAAACTGGTGCTCTGAGTTTGTCTCCTCCCCTCCCCTCTCTTCTACTCTCCGTGCATGTATATGCCACCATTATGAGTCACTAACTGTATGTCTCCGCTCTCCCATAGTGTGTCCCCTCTCTCTCCCTGTACCTTTCTGCAGGTTGCCCTGGCTCTGGACCTCTACGTCTTTGATGAGCCACAGGCCACATCAACCTGCCCAGTGTTTGATTGTTTGTTGTGTCTCATTGCTTTGCTTTTCTTTCCTGTCTCCTCTATCCACTCACCCCAACCGGTCGAGGCAGAAGGCCGCCCACCAAGAGCTGGGGTCTGTCGGAGGTTTCTTCCGTTAAAGGGAGTTTTTCTTCCCCACTGTCGCCAAGGGCTTGCTCAAGGGGGATTTTTTGGGGGTTTTTCCTCTATAATAATAATAATAATAGTAAGGTCTAGACCTTACTTTGTAAAGTGTCCTGAGATGACTTTTGTTGTGATTTGGCGCTATACAAATAAATCAGAATTGAATTAGAATAATGTCTCTCTCACACACTCATTATACATACTAGTATATATAGCTACTAGTTAGCATACCTCAAACTTCCTTTCATTCATAAGTCATGCCTGTTGTTCCCAATAGACATGAAGTCTGGCAACATAGTTTCCACATACATTTTTTTAAGTACTCTATTTTTATTCTTATTCTTATCTTGTTTCCTAATGAACATTCCTTTGTCTGTTTGCATTGTTTATTGCTTTGTTTATACTGTTTATTTTGTTATACTATACAGCCTTATATTGGTATATTGTCTACTTGCCCTTTGCTATTGCCTTACATAAGGATATGTACATACACATTGAAAGCCACTGTACCAGAGTCAAATTCCTCATGTCCAACACACCTGGCCAATAAAGCTAATTCTGATTCTGACATACATAAGCAGGATTAATAAATAGACCTGTGACATTTGCTTTGACATTTACAAACACAATGGGATTCATAACAGTGTTGATTCAAGACACTTCACTTATATAGCCTAAACAAGTTAAACTCAAGAGAGTAGAAATATTCAGCTAATTCTAGCCTGGTTTATAAACAGTATGAGGGTCTGAATGGTCTGACATAGTACAAAATGGTCTATGGTTAATGAGATGTTACACAATATGTATGTATGTTGGCACAAAGCTAGTGTGATTATTGACTAGATTAAAAATGTACCATGTCAAATGAACAGTTTAGTATCTTGGGAAATTCAGTTACCTGCTGTCATGATGAGGATAAATGAAAAGATCAATACCAATCACATGTTCGTGTGCTAAGAATCGATACAACGTATCGAGTTACAACTGTGTGACAATTAGCTTATCTTAAAGCCTGGAAACAGGGGGAAACAGCTAGCCTGGCTCTGACTGAAGGTAATACAGTACATTCCTCCAGTAAGCACCTCTAAAGCTCATAATATTTTTTTCTTTTATACACGTTGACAGTTTAACTACATAATCAAGATAACATCTTAATTAGTGAACTTTAGAGATGCTCCTAAGCAGATGCTTTTTACTTTTGCACAAAACCAAATTAGCTATTTCCAATCTTTAAGCTAAGCTATGCTAAGCCTGTCCAAAGGTAACAAAATCCATCAATCAGCATCTCAAGCTATATATTTAGCACATGAGAGTGACTGAATCACCCAACTCTCACCACCAAAGTGAATAATTTTCCAAACTGTCAAACCATTTCCAACTATTTTATGCTTTAATTAATGATTTCCTACTTGTGGGGCCAGAGATCACATCTTTGGTAAATTTTTCCTTTGTTGCATTTTTGTGTTTATGTATTTTCTGTTGTACTTCTGTGTATATCGCATTTCTACAGTTAGGGCCATGGTGTAAAATTAAAAATGAATTGATTTTCTAGTCTATTGTAATAAATTTTGTCTGTAATGTTTTTGACCACAAAATGATTATTATAACTTTGTAACTGTAGCTGAAGGTGATGAACATTTTACTGTAACTTACCAGCTCAAACCAGGCAGGACGATGTGAAGGAGTAATTGAACAGGAATCTCAATCTGTGTCCTTATACATATGATACTTACATTTTGAGGTCATTTCTATAGTTGATTCAATTATATTCTCTCTTCTAACCTTCTGTTCCGAATAGTTAGACAGCATGACAAGACTCAGCAGGACTCAGGCTCATTATAGCATGTGTGTTGAAAGTACTATGAACAGATGTTGAACAGGATGGAATGAGGCGCCAGTTGCTGCTATCTACTGAGATCACCGATGTGGTGAGTATGTTTCTCTAATGCCTTCTAGGGACTCACTGTTGTTACTGTCACCCCCCTGAGGGGACCGAGGTCCCTCCCACATTTCACTGGGCCCTGACAGGACAATGTCTAAATCTGACACTTTCCATTGGCTTGGCGGCTTCCTGACACCACTCCTGTCATCCTCTGCATGGCCACACCCACCATGGAAGACAGTAACAAGACCAACCACAGCGTTAACAACCACCAAAACAACATCGACATCATCATGATAACATCATAATGGTGACACCACAAAACAATAGCAGGAACAGTTAACAACAGCAACCACCACCACAACATCAACAAGTGACAAAACAATAATCACAAAATCACCAATAAGATGAACACAATGTTTGGGATAACATCAACAACAATAGATAAGGGGAAAAGAGAAAGGAGGAAACACACAGGGAACAGAAATAGAAGGACAGCATGTTAGAGCTCAGATGAAGATACAGTATATGAGTGCAGATAGAAAAACTGATTAAAAATGATGGTAAACTCTACAACCACTTTTGTACCAACCTGAGAGGGAGCGGATGTGGCTGAGAGGGGTGGGCTTAGGTGGTGGGTCAGACAGCAGGGGGTACCCTGCCTCCTGTCTCCCCTCAGCTGGAACTTGGATGTAGGGGCAAACAGCTGCCACTCGACCCGAAACGCCACTGCTAGGGCTGGAAGTCTGAGGGGAGGACACTCCTCCATTAATACGACTCAACTGGAGGGGTAGAGAGAAAAAAAGCTACAGTAACAGTCAAGCAAATTTGAGACTGTCACACAAATTTTATTTCATTAGCTTGTTAGAAGAGAATAGAAATTCATGATGAGGGTGAAATGGTGTACTTCTGCTCTCTTCTTATGCAGCCGTTCTCTCAGGTCTCCAATGCGCTGATCCATCACTGTCACCTGGGCGTTCCTCTTGTTCAGCAGCTCCTTGTTCTGGGCCAGCTTGCTACTTTGTTCCAGGTTATGACGATTCCGAGCCTGAAACACACAGTAATACAAGGTTTACATGCTCCATTTGATGACAACAATGTTTAACCAAAAGAACTTGAATGTGTTAATTTGCATTATGTTTTCTGAAGTTTGAAATATAACTTACTTGAAGCTCCTGGTAGAGTTTCCTCAGCTCCAGTGCTGCAGGGCCCGACAGGGGTGATCCTTTCTGACCAGGGGCGGCACCATGGGAACCAGAGGGTGCCCCCTGAGCTGGTGCAACAGAGTGCAACTGAAGTCGCCCTCTCCTCAGATCCTCCAACTGTTGTGTCAACTGGTTAAAAAAAAATTACAAAGAGCTTAACAGCAACTTACCTTGTTCAAACTGCATTTAAGGCAAGTGATTTTATTAGAAGCCTTTATCTTGAATCCTTCTGGGCATTACCTGGTCGACTCTGATCACTGCAGACTGCAGCTCTGCCTGCTTCTCCTGAAACAGGCTGCTAACATGATCAATCTCTGCAGCTGCAGGCAGAAACCAAAAACTGGAATATTTACAGTGAAATCAGATTACCGCTATTTTATAATATATTACAGTAACTCCTGACATTAAGATGGATGTACACTCTGGATATACATACATATGGTGCTACCACTGGGCAGGGCATATAAAATGATAAAAAAATGTATACAGTAAAAGTCTGTTTTGCACAGGCTTCCCCTATGTTGTAGGAATGAGACTATTTCAACTGATAAAATTCTTGATACATAGTCATTTTATTATGTAGTCATAATGCAGTGCAAGTAACCCATAGTCATCATTTCTGCAGCATATTTAGCCTTACAGAGGTTTCCATTGATGAGTTTACTGTAGTCCACTTGTCCTCTCATTGCTCGAATCTTCTTCAGCTTTGCTTCCTGAGTCTCCACTCGCTCCTTCAGCCGCTGCAGCTTCTCAGCTTCTGACTAAACAAGAGTGGAGAACACAGACAGCACAAGCTAAATATCCATTAGTGTTTTCATCTGATTTTTAGCAGATGGCTGTGGGTTTTAATAAGACAGACTTGAAAAATGTGATCCTATCCTTTAAGACTGACAGAAGACAGATTGATCAATGCATCTCACCTGTGTCTGTCCCTGGTTAGATCTGCCTCCCTGCTGGAGATACCTCAGTCTCTGTTCCTACAAGAGAAAAGGACATTCAGTGGCACAGGCTCTGATGGCACAAATATGAGCTGGAATAACTGCTGTTGTTAACCACTATACTCTACATATATACATAGTGTATGCATTTCTGAGTTTGTTTTTAAAGTATATACTCATAACAGCTAGCTCTAAACTTGCAAAATGGATGAGCCATGTTTCACCTTCTCCTCTCACCCGCTACAACAAATTGTTCATCTCTGGAAACCTACAAATGTGACCAAACCACACCAGTCCAGTCCTGCGGAAATCAATCATCATCTGAAATTTCAGTGGCACTGTAGTTTTGATAGGTGTTTTCCTGACATTAAACTTGCGTATTAAGTCATGAATGTTTTACATAAGGAATGTGAAAGTCAGGTGGACCTCTGACTGTGCTGTGCTGTGACAATCCTGAAAAAGGCAGTGTTTCGAGTCATTAATCACACTGCGGGTCTGTCAGTTTGTCTTCTGATTCAGCTTCACATTCATCAACTTGTCATTTAGAATTTCAGTAGTGAAAATCTGACCGAATTGGCTGTCAAAAGTATAAATACTGCAGTTGCAGGTTGACATATGCTGTTATTACACTAATAACGTAAAAATAATTCTTTCCTACTGATCAATCAACAATCAATCATTTATTAAGATTTCATTCAAATATTTAGTGGTTTCAGTGCTTTGAGGGAAATATGCTGCAACACCAGTAAACATTCCTGTGTTTTTGTTTGAAATTTTTTGCAGCTAAAATAAATAAATAAATAAGTAAAGCCTCTGCACATAGTCCACACACAGATCCCATCATAGCCCCACACACCTTCAGCCTGAACGGAGGATTAATTAGCCACGTGGCTGTCCAGTAGCTTTAATCAAACTATTGAGAGAAGGGTAAACACTGAAACATATTATGCCTCAAAATATCTGTCACTTATTGCTTCAGGAGACATTTAACAGCCTGTTCAAGCAGGAATATTTACAGTCTTAATACAGTGATAACAGCATAGAACAAAGGTGCAGAACATGTATATTTTACTTAGATATTTCACAGCATAAGTGAACCCTTATTAGCACCTATAAGAACACTGAAAATGTGCCATTTAATTAATGTGCTAACACAATAATTCATATGTCATGCCTCTACTTTATATGTCAGCCTAACACCATTTAACCACACTATGTATAATTTTGAAAATCATGTGGTTGTTTAGTTTCATTTGTGTTGCATGCATTTATTTATTCAACCACCACACACCTTATAAAACAAATAGCATACAGAGTAGAGCAGACGGAGAAAGAGCTCTGCCATGTGTGGTGCTGACTAAGGCAGTTTACACCACTCTCTTTCTCGCTCCTTCTCTCTATTGTGCTGGCACATAGTACAGCTGACCTGTGTGACTCTCAAACACACATACACACACAGGGGAAGAGGGAAAAAGCCTTCAATCACTCCTCGAAACACACACAAACACATGCTAAATGATACATTACATAACAGTAGCTTGTTTCTATACAAAGACACAGCATAGGACAAAACATGCATGTGGAAGGTGCCAGTAAATGTGTTTTGAATTTTGTTTTTATGGAAATCCTGAACCAATGTTGTATTATATTAATGTGAGATGATGGAAACTGGCTCTACACAGCAGCTGAGAGACTTTTCCACCCTGAGAAAGAAATACACACTGGACAGAAACACTGTCATTTTAACAGGAAATAGCTGCTTCAAAAAAAACATGCTTAAGCACAATTGCCCTTGAAAACCCAAAATATATCAAACCAAGTTTGGTGCTTGAAAATATTCCTGATCCCTGTTGAAAGCATTTTAATTCACTTTAGCCTAAGTAAATGTTTTAACAAATGAATGGAGAAACATTTACAAATGAAAAGAATCAGACTTTTTGGCTCGCCCTTCTGGCTCTTAACTGGAGTGCAACTCTACTTCAGTTTCCCAGCAGCTGTGGCTCCCATGATGATGTCATCTCCTGTATCTCAAAGGTCACTTCCTAATGTGGGAACGAGTGACAACTGATCATGATCTGTCTCTCTCTCTCTCTCTTGCATGAAACCTGGGGGTGAATAGTGGTCTACTGCCTCAGATGGAGTTATTCTTTCCTGCTAGTCCTTAAACCCTGACCTGGATCACGTCCTGTTTCCAAGGAAGCACTGATCTTTACACACCCACACACAACCACACACACATTCCTTCAAGATCTTAGCTCCTGTAGCCTCATAGCTAAATTTTTCTGACAGACTCTAATGTAGATAATGTTACACTAACTTACCTTTGCGACCAACATCTGTTGCTGAGCCTCTATTTGTTGCTGTTGTCTTGTGGCCATTTCCTGGAGCTCAGACAGGGTCAGCTCCACACGGGGAACCTACACACACAAACATCATGTACACTATTTTATTACAGTGTGTCAATATGGTATCTTTTGTATATCTGCCAAGATGAAAACCCAAGCACTGATGGGAGATAAATGCACACACATATCACCTCACACTTTAGGTTACAAAGCAGCTTCAGAAATGTTATTCAACCAGCAGCTGGTGGCCTTGGCAGAGTGACAGAATGATAGTACTGATTCAGGGAAAATGGTGAACCTATCTGCTCCGGTCACTACTGTGCTATGACACAGACATTGACATCAGCTAGAAAATCTAACTGCACTGATTGTTCATCCTGCGTTTTACTGTCAGTGTCTTATCAAGCTGAGTACACATCAGGACACTATGTAGTGTGGCTGTGTTTGTAATCTCACTGAACAAACATTTCTATGATTGTAAAAGGAAATGTTTGTGTGTGTGTGTGTGTGTGTGTGTGTGCTTGGGGGGCATGAGATTGAGTCTGGGGTGAGGGGAGAAAAATGCCTTCAGCAGACAACAGCGGAAGGTTTGAGCCCCGCCACATCCTGCTATTGTGTATGTTTACTCATGGACACAAGCACACACACACTGCACCTGGTCTGTTACATTAATTTCCATTATGCAGTGAGGCTAGTCAGTGCAAAAGTGTTCATATGTTGCCCAGGGGGGAAATGTGACCAGGCTACTTTCTAAACTTGTGAATAACTAATTGCAACAGCACAGATAATACTGTAGAACAGATTCAACACCTTGCAGCTCTGCACTGCATCATAGCAAAGCTACAGCATAAAGCTACTGTAAAGTATAATGCATCACAACAGTAGAATATCAGTGCATACGCAAACACAGTACAATGTAGCCATGTGTGAGAATGGAAAGAGAAAAAAAGGGACCTCAAATTAAACCCTGAGGAATCTCATACTTAAAATGTTTAAAGAAGGAATTGTTGGGGCAAAGTTTGAAGTAAGACAAATGGACATGACTAATTTTGTGGTGATACTTAAATATGCCAACTCAGAATATGGGGAGATCAGTTAAACTTGATGGTCTATAACATGGATTGTCAACCAGTAGCCACATCTGGCCCACCAAAGATGTACTGTATATCATCCCACAGTATATTAATGAAATCAGAAAATAGGAGGAGGAAATAAACATTTGCTGTGGTATTTAGACTATCTAGAATTTTTTTTCTGCCACACCAATAGCCACATTGTACTATAGATGAGGCCAGTGCCTTCAGGCTGACTTACAGAAATTTTCACTGACATTATACAGACATACAGTATTCCAACATGATGGAGAATACATCAAATTTTATATAGTGACATTATGCAGATTACACTGGTTTTACAGTCAGTGGTGCCACATATTATTAGCTAAATGCTGACTTGTGGGATTCTGCAGACCCTCACTTTGAAGTGCATTATGAAGAGTCTGCAGACACAAACTAATCTCCTGATAATGAATACTGGTCACCTTAAGGGGGCCAGGAAGTGCTGGTACTATCAGGATGTAATTATTATTATGTGGAAACCTTGCACACAATGATGCAGTGGTAGAGTGTGGATATCCAGACCGAGCCTGATGGGCCACGTTTGGACAGAAATTTAGTAATTATGTTCGGGTCTGTGTCGGGTTTGAACTCAAAAGTTAAAGTTTAGGTTAGATGGCTGGAGCACCCAAGGGTCTGCCTCATTCAATAATAAGGGGGAAAACACTTTACAAACTCAACTGCATTGGGCTCGAGTCAGGTCCAGGGCAAGTTCAGATGCCACACTCTCAAGCATGGGTCGTGTTCGGAAAGAAAAATGTTCTATGTATGGTAAATATGGTAAATAGATAGTTTGATGAGACATGAATTCCATAAGCATTCACACAGTGACTTTTTTCTTGTCATTTATCAAACACTTATTCTCATAGTGTCCACTTTATTAGGTACATTCTACTGCAATCCCATACTGCTGTTCTGCCATTAAGGTTACTATTATTATACTGTACCTGTAATGCTCAGTTTTTGTTGGCACTCTCACAGGAGTGTTGCATGTGATGAGTGCTGCATATTGAGGTCACATCTTCCAAAGCAGACTGTTATGCACTGACATGCCTTGGATGAGTTGCCCAAATCATGCAACCAGCTGTTATGGAGTGATATTTATTTGGAGATGTATGTCTGGTCAAGTAGTGAAAGTCCAATATTGAATCTCAGTTTCTACCAACTACTCTATTTGTATTTGAGGGTAATAGCTCACGCCTTAGCTACTAAATGCTCCACTGTGTTCACAATGTAGTCACTAACTGTGTCTGTCTGCCCAGGCTTGAAAAAGTACCCCCTATAAAAACTCACAACAGGGAGCTTCGTTTGGAGCCAGTATGAGCAGAACTCCTGGCTGATATATTGGCTCACTAAAGGGGCAACTTTTGCTTTTCATACGTGTCTTTGACTGTGTTCCATGCTTTTTTACATGTGAGCTGAGTACTTTGTTTTTTATTCTACCTTTAGCTTAGTTTTCCAAAATAGACTGTTGTATATTTCTACATCTGCCCTCCTTCTCTCTGAGCCTGGCTCTGACCTACCAGCCCGATCACACTGTTGACTGTGTGCTGTAGACATACCATATGACACTTGAAACTGACTTTGAATGGTCCACATCTATGCCAAATTAAGTCCACAAGTAAAAATGGTGCTGCCTAAGGCTAAATCAATGGAATTTTCTAGCACCTTTCACTGCAGCTGAGCTTCTAACTCCAGTTAGTAGCACATCACTGATTCCTGAAGCGTTCAAAACTACTTTTTACAGACAGTCAGGAGACACTTGAACATCAACCTACAATGAAAACCTAAAAAAGCAAACATTTTTTTAAAGATATGAGATGACACTGCTACACTGTAACACTGCTTGTAATGTTAAGATCTGGTCAATTAAAGCAGTGAGTATGACGCTGTTGTCTTGGGAAGTTTATATATCCTGCTGTTTCTAGCTTTCTAATGATGACATGTATCCTAAAGCTATGGAAAAGTTAACAGTTCACCTGACACTTACTGTAACAGCAGTGTCATGTGTTCTTCTGCTCATGCTGTTCACACGCTGCTCTGAGCATCCTGCTGACATTAACATGCAGTTAGAACCAGGTTCCCGCCGTGCTGTATTTACCTGCAGGCTGTCCCATGTGATCCTGCAGGAGTGGACTTTAATTTTGCTGCATTGTCCTTCAACAGTAAATTCCTGCACCAAATCCACCTCATTCCACTCCATCCTCACAGCGTCTCAGAGACACAGCCGACTGCTATGTTTTCAGATAGAAAAATGTTGCTGGAGGCTGGACAGAGAAAAGCTCTGAGATGGAGGAAACGAGAGCAATCCTTATCATAACTTTCCCTCTTGTCCACCCGGTGATGTGCTGTGATTTACAACACACTCTCTCCTTCTCGCTTGCTCTGCCTACGCTCCCTCCCTCCCCCTCTATCTCTCTCATATAAACTCTCTCTCCGTTACTGGTGTATCCTCATATGACGAATGAAAGGAGCTCACCAATGTAAAACTGTAATCAGTTACTACAAATACTGTATGTAAACCATTAAACTGGTACAAAAAGAAAGCAATAAAGTCATTAGCTCCATCCCTTTTTATACCCCCTTTCTCTATGTTTTCATCCTTCTTCACTGACCTCTTTTCCATTTTTGTTCTTTCTGTACTTCTTCTATTTATGTACTACTACTTTCTGTATCTTCCTCCACCCATCTGTTTTTTCCACCTTTCTTAATCCCCATCTCTCTCCATATCTGCATCCCTTCATCTCTCTCTCAATGCTTGTCATCTTTCTGCAGCTGGCTTTTTGGTGCAGCAATGCCCCCCTCTCTCTCCATTGTCACACCTCCCTCTCTCCTTCTCCTACTTTCTCTCAGAGGGGAAATCACTGCACCACAGCCTGATGGAGCACTAGCTGCTCTCAGTCAACCTCTGCCTCCAGATCCAGATGTGTGTTATGAGTCCAATCGTGATGACAATGATGATATTGACAGGCTAATGTTCACGCCACAGCGATCTTGTGGCGCATTCTCCCCAGACGTGACATGCACACCCACACGACGTGTATGTGTGCACATACACAAATGAAAACACACTGGAAAAATAGCTGACTCCTACTGCGTCATATTTTCCTCTTCTCTCTTTCTCTGTCTAGCTCTGCAACACACACACAGTGACATGTGACTGAACTGCAGCGTCACACATAAACTCCTTCACTCTATGAAACGAACACACATTTGTCTCACCCAATTAACAATGCATCCACACACAAGGGGCTGGGTGTGTTGGGCATGAACTAACATAAGACATTCAATATTTTTTAATCAAACATAACATCTCTTCAAAGTATTGAAACTGGATGACATTTTCATTAATGTCCAATCGTTGTTAAATGCTGAAACTGATACATTTGATCTGGTCAGGTTTTTCTCAGAACTATGCCCTTCGTAGGCCTTTAAAAACATTTTTATAACAACAAAGCACATTAAAATCCATTAAAACAATAAAAATTGCCTTGTTTTAAAATTCTTATGGGAGCGGTAGCAGCTCTTCGAAGGGAAAAAGCTTTAAGTTTGGTTGAAACTCTTGCATTATTTGACCCACACTGCAATAAAAGGATGAAAGAACATCAAAACCATCCTCATACAGATCAGTGACTCCATGTTGAAATCTGAGTGATGAAATATGATTTTGCACATGGTATGTACATTATACATTAGTCACTGACTTCAGACAAACTAATAAAAATGCTGCTTTGAACTTTTTGGCTCACAACTTTAGTTGAAGTTCATGCATCCATCCATTATCCTCCGCTTATCCGGAACCAGCTTGTGGAGGCAGCAGTCTAGGCAAAGACTTCCCTCTCTCCAGACACTTCCTTCAGCTCCTCCGGGGGAATACCGAAGCATTCCCAGGCCAGCTGAGAGACATATTTCCTCCAGCGTGGTCTTCCCCGGGGCCTCCTCCAGGTGGGACATGCCCGGAACACCTCCCTAGGAAGGTGCCCAGGAGGCATCCGAAACAGATGCCCGAGCCACCTCAGCTGGTTCCTCTCAATGTGGAGGAGCAGCAGTTCTACTCTGAGCTCCTCCCGGGTGACCGAGCTCCTCACCCTATCTCTAAGGGTGCGCCCGGCTGCCCTGCGGAGGAAGCTCATTTCGGCCGCCTGTATCCGGGATCTTGCACCTTTTGTCATGACCCAAAGCTCATGACCATAGGTGAGAGTCGGAACGTAGATCAAAGAGTAAATCGAGAGCACATCCACTTCTTTTATATTCAGTTCCAAAGTCATAGCTCTGTGATGAAAGCCTTGTATCAGTTTTCATTTGTTCATATAGTAGCTGGAGCCCACAGCAGTCAACTTGTTAACCTATAGATGTAGCTACTGTGAACCAACACCATGCTGTACATAAATATACTGTACATTTAAAAAATGTCTTATTTTCTGAATTTTGAATGTGTAATGAAACCCATAACCATACTTTTTCCCCAAGTATGTCTTATGTTTACTTAATATATGTAACAGTAGTGTAGCGGTACTCCTTAGCCTTTACGGTGCAGGTCTTATGCAGTAAGTATGACACGACATAAACAAGTTCCACAGTCCAGTTCTGGTTTTTACGAAGGGTTTACTAAATAAAAATAAACATACAAATAAAACGTTTCCTGGTTCCTTGTCCAAAGTTACAAAGGACTTGACAAATTACTTGCTTATAACTCGGTCAGAAAAACTGTGTGCTCAGAGCCTGACCGTCCGAACCTCTCAAAAACAAAAAACACATCCGGTCACATGGTTAACAAACAACAATATGCCATAATATAACATGTCTAGAGCACATTGTATAAAACAAACTTATTATTCCAAAACATAAAGCTATGTTGGCTATGTTTTCTTAATAACTACGTAAACTAAACATTTTTCAGATTGGCTCTTACAAGTAGTTTTATGACATAGTGTAATTTCCCTGTGAAACCGAGTGTCAATAAATTGACTTCTAGGGATTTTATGAAAGTGTGCAGTAGACACTGGCAGCTCTTGATCAATCATTGATCATTGCAGCTATCTCATATTACTTCTCATATTACGTCTTTGTGGCACTTTCACATATGTTGTGATCATGGATTTAATCTGTAGCACATGTGAATATTTGATTTTCTCAGTGTGTGAGTATTACATTTCCAAACAGTGTGTATGTTCTCAGTGTTATGTATACACATACTAGGCACATAAACACAGACACACACGTTGTTCTGATCACAGGTCCCTCCGGTAATGAAACCCATTCCCTTCCAATCTGTTGTGTGCCTCCAGTAAAAATATTCCTCCTAACCTACAATAACAGCCTTCGGAGACTCCTGCAGCCCAGGCTGAACTAAAAGGGGAAAACTTTGTTGTGAGAACAGCTCCAGCACATAGCAGGGTGGCCCGCTGGTTACTGAGCTTGTCTTATAACTTATCTTTGGGCATTTACTTATGTTCTGGTGAAACATTTATAGTAGCCAAAGCTTAATCCAATTGTCAC